CCACACACCCACACACCAACACTCACACCTACCCACACATCCCACACCCCACACCACATCCACACCCACACACCCAGAAACAGAAAGAAATACGAAAAAAAATTAAAACTTATTATTTACGGTGTTTGATGTGACTTTATTTTGTGAACTCTAATCTAAATTAATTAGTTCACCTGGTTTATAAAGCATGTCATCTTTGATATAAATCAAATAGTGCTCAATTTTAATTTAAGTTTAGGTAAATCTAAGGAGCTATAAAGTTAGTCACTATATCCAATGAAATCTTTATAATTCTTTATAGCATGCTCTTGTCAAGAAAAAAATGTTTTTAAAGATATGAATTTTAACTAGTGTCTTTTATCAATACTTCTTTATCTGCGAAATGAACATGGTTCATAGGGGATATGTAGGCTATAATATATTATGTTCTTAAGTTTTGTTGAATTACGTTCCAAACAAAAAGAATAAAGAGTTTTGTAGCTAATATATTCTCTATGGTAGAATAATTACTGTCTTGTCTCAGAATGTAATTTTCCAAAAATTTAAAATATTGATAGTCTTGTTCATAAAAATACTTTCAAATTTAGTTTATTCATGTCGATGCAGATATTACAGTTAGAATTAGTGAAATTGAGTACTCCGTCTAATTTTTAAAAAATAATTGAATTAAAAACAAATTACGACTAAGTTTAATTTTGCCTGGAATAACTATTTTAAATATAAATTACTTCCACTGAATTTATAATTTAATAAATTGTAAATTAAGTTAAATTATTCTATTTCTTTTTCATATTTCATCATAGTCAGACGAACAAAGAAAAAATATGTGTTGAACTTCTAACAAAAATAAACTGATAAAAAGTGCATGTATAGATGCGTTCATAACGTATTGGATAATAGAATCGATATATATTTGTTGTTAAACTTTTAGGCATTATAAGCATGTAAAATTGTTCACTTTTTACGATTTTACTTTCGTTCAAATTTCAACACCGTTTTTTTCCTTATTCATCTGACTGAGATAAAATATGAAAAGAAGTAGAATCATTTAACTTAATTTATAGCTTACTAAATGATTAATTCAGTGAAAGTAATTTTTGTATTTAAAATAAACATACCTTATTCAAATTTATATGTATGTTTAAATATAATTACTAATAATTTAATTTATGCATAAATTAAATTGAAAGTAAATATAAATTGACACTTCTAGTTTGTACATATTTGTGAAAAATGGCGAAAGATTTATGCTTTTCCAAGTTTTTTTTTCATAATATAGAATACATCTCATTTTTATCTGTGATTTTTAAGAGAATATTACTCGATGACTAATCGTTTTTGG